CTGTACCAAGATTGGCTTCTTTTTCTTGTTTCTAACCTATAGACTTAAATGGGATTTAAAAAAAAAATGCACAGCTGTAAATAACCCTCAAAAGCAGAAGTCGTGTGCTCTGTGTCATTTGGTTCTCACGAATGTGACAATCCCTGAGGCTCCCTGTCTCTAACGGTTCTGACCAAATTGTTACCCAGTTGAAAGAGTGGAGGTGTGCATTTGGGCTGAGGGGGTCTGTCATGAATCAAAAATAGAGAAGGCAGAGAAAACCAAATCTGTAAGTATTCTTTGTGCCTTCAGACCCACAGGCATCAGTGCACTGTTTTTCCTCATTCAGAAACTCCTCCGTCAATTTCTGTGGAACCTTACGTGTCCTGTTTGACCACAGGGATGAGATCATCTCTTTGCCCTGTCTCTGTCTGCAGCGGGAGAAACGGAGTCCCTGCTCAGCGCTCTGCCTTAACTCCTCACTCACTTTCCCTGCTCCTTACTTTCACATAGAAATATAAAAGCTGAGAGGACCTTCAGGAGTTTGGCCAAATTTGTCTCTTTTCTCAGAATAGTTACTCGGTTTTTAATGGCTCGTCAGGAGGACAGTGGCGCAGCTCCTTCGGCAAGGATCTCTTTGGTAACCAGAGCAGGACTTGAAAGCCGTGGGACAAGCTGTAGGGCAAACTCGGGTATATGTGCATGTATGTGAAAAACACCTGTGTCCAAAAGCAAAGGTTGCAGAAACAGATGACACTGTACGGTGGCTGTGGGTGCCGCTGTGCTGACGGCCTCTGTCCAGGAGTCGTGTCAGGCTGACTAGTGGTGATCTCTTTTTATTTAAATTATTTAAGACGGTGACTGATGGGAGAAGAGGCCTGTGTTTGGGTGCAGAAGTTGTTTTCTGCTCCCAATAAGTAGATATCTGGTCTCTCTTTGCTCCCCTGACCTTCTCTGTACTTGAAAGAGAAACATTTTGGTCTGCTGGGGAAGACAGGAAGGTACTGACGGATCCCATCTGACTGGGGCTGTCAGGGGTGCTTGGAAGCCTGATGGGAAGGTCCTCAAATATCTGCCTGTCACGTGCTGGGATTCCAAGTGGGAGAAGCAGCCTGTGCTCTGGGGAGCTCTCCCTGGGTAGAAGATTCAGACAGATGTACAAGAAGTGACGAATGAACAGCAAACTAGTACGTAGAACCAAATACTCTTCAGAAGCTGTGTGCAGGTGTGGGTGTGACTTTGGGTATAAATGCGTACCTGTATACAGGGTCTCCAGGTGTGGGAGCGGTTGGGAGGCGGACGGGCCGAAGGGCTGTCCCTGCTGCCTCTCCACAGGCCCTCGTGCTGCGTGAGCACCGCTCCGCGCTTTCCCACCCACTGGTGCTCCAAACTTGTCTGGGTGGGAATCGGTTTTGTGTATTTATTCACTCTCAGCTTGGCCTGCTAGTGATGTGTTGGTAAACAGGTGTTTCAGGGGAAAAACAGGCGCAGTTATGGTGTTTGCCAGTTTCTGTGGTGTCAGTACCTCCACCACGCTGATTTCAAGCAGCCAGTGCGATGTCCCTGGGCGCAGCCGGGGAGGGATGCGGCTGGTTCCTGCGGGCCCGCGGGGGCTGCCTCTGCATGTGGCTACCGCCACCCTCGCTCACTGCTGACTTCATGAGGATCCTTATTCTGACATCCGGAAGGACCCTCGTCTTTCCCCTTTACACCTTCCAAACTCTGGCTGCCTACAGAGTTGCTATCCCAGGGATTGTATTTTTCAATCTCTGTTTATGTGTTACTTAACTCTTTTTAATGAATTTCTTTGTATCTCATCTCAGCACGTGTCATCTGCTTTGTACTGTGATTCCAAGGGACCAGTTTCACCTCCTGATTTTAGAGATGATTAAAAGGGGAAACTTCACTGTGGTTATTAGACAAAAAAGCATAAAAACATGTATATTAAAATATTTCTGTACCTTAAGAGCCCGTATGTTAAATATCCCTTACCTCCACCTCTAAGAGCTGCTCACAGATATTTATTTCATTGTTTGTTACCATTACTACTCTGCTGGTTTGTCCACATTGCATTTATTGCAAACCCTCCTTTTCCCTTTTCATGCTGTGAGATTCCTGAGGATCCAAGTCTCTATTTAGTTCATCTTTGTACGCCCAGGTTCTCTAACAAGTCCCTGAAATCAGTCATCTGTCAAAGGCACCATGAATATTAGACATTTGCTTCATTTTCATCCTATCACAAGAAATCACACAGGAGACAGTTACAGGGAGAGTACTGGATGTAAGATGGATTGAGAAACATTTGCTGGATGACCAGAGGGATGTCAGTCGTAAGTCTGAGAGAGCAGTTTGTGAATGTGCTGGGATGAAACCTTTATTTTAGAGACTTAAGGAGGATATGTTGGGATAGGAACGAGAATCCGTGAACATGGATCGCTCACCCAGTGCGTGGAGAGGAGAAAAGAAGTGACATGGATGTGAAGCATAGACATGCAATAGGGTTCTAGAAGCGGTAATTCTTACTCACTTTAATGTTAGAGAAGTTTTTCACTGTTGCCCTCACAAGTGACACTTCATAAAGGAGGTTTAATTTTGGAAGTGCTGCATGTAAAGTTCTGTGTTTTGCTGAATTCATGTCTTTCCAAACGTGGAAAGCCCCAGCTGAGGTGGGTGGAGATCTGCGGTCTAATGTTAGTAGGCTGTGCTTGCTACTAACATTGTTGGTGAGAGACTAGAAGAGGGTGAAAAATACATTCCAGTGCAAGGCAATTCAAGATGCTACCATTAGTGTACATATTATAAGTTAATAGTTTGCAGAGGACTATGTAGCTATGCTTTTGAAAAACCCAGATTTACTGCTTTAAACCAATAGGTAGCTTCCCATCTCTGTGTCAGGTATATTGGGGCACATGCATAGAATAGGAAATAGCCCTCGTGTACAATTTTAAAGAGAGACAGGCTACTTCCAGGGAATAAATGGAGAGCGGCAATGACAAGATGTGGACTTTGTGACAGCAAAATTAAGGCAAACGCATAGAAGTAGGTCCTTTAAGACTGGATAGGCTATGACTTGGTGAAGAAGAGAGGGGAGTTTTAGGAGGAAGGAAAACTATAGAATGAGAACTATATATGTGGAGAAGAAGGTGAAACATGGGAAATGTGAATATGTTTCAGTATTATAAAAAGAAAATGATTTTCCAGAGGACAGCTCAGTTCCAGAATTATTTTATTAATCTGTTGCTCACGTGCCAGATTGAAAGTAGCTTTTTTTAAATTAGCTTTTAAAATGATAAAAGTTTGTTTCTATTTATTCCTGTTTTTTTTCCCTTTAATTCAAGCTTAATAATAAAGCAAATCTTTACCTCCTCTGGCAACCCCTGCCCTTTACTCCAGGATACTGCCTGTTACGTTTCATGGATATTCTTCTGGAAGTGTTAGAATGCATTTCTCTGCATACATATTTTTGTAAACATGGTTCAAACTCTTCCTCAATATACTTTTTTGGCTTAGCAATGTATCTGAGAGATCTCTCCATACAGTTATATCAATTCACCTTAGTTTTTCTTAAGCTACGTAGTGTTCAACTTCGTGGATGGTACATCATTTGTCTACGTGCCTACATAAAAGCTTTATAGATCTAGCATAATGTGTTAACTTTTTAAAAAAGTTAATGATAGAAAATAATTTATTATTATTATGGTAGACAAGGTTTTTCTACAGGATAATGTATGTGTTATGTATTTTATGTCTATTTACATGCATGCATTTCCATGTCTTCACCTATGGAATGTGCTAGAATCATCAGGTTGGAAAGGCTTTAATGGTCATCTTGGACGTGATGCTTTAATCCCCTGTATAAAGTAGATGCCACATGAGGAGCAGTCCTTGTCGGAAGAGGGCATCTGCCCACTGTTACTAGCGGTAGCCTAGATGCTTTCAGCTGCAGGGAACAGCAAAGGATGCTATTTTTGAATGAAAACCTATCACAAGCACGGGTCTAATTGTTGTATTTTCTAGGTGAGACATTAATGGAGACAGTATTTACTGGAATCCTTCAGGCTTTTTCCCCCCGATACTAAATTTATAAAATTATTGCCTTTAAAACTAAGCTCATACTTAATGCCTTCATTTCCTTTTTTGCACCACCCTTTGGGGTTGTTTGCCTCCTGCATGAAAATTTCCAAGAATCACAAGCCTGAGGAGATTTAAAATTAGAATCTCATCAGTTCATAATTTGCAAAATACATTGCTTCAGAGACAAAGGGCTACTCTACCCCTCCAGTAACATAATTTTCCACATGATATATACTCTTTAAGGTCACTTTATATCATGACAACATGGGGTGACCGTTATTGAATAGAAACTGAAAACTGAACAAGATCTGTAAGCACTTGAACGACGGCTGTCCACCCTGGCCCCACCTGTCCTGCGTACCCAGGGGACGTGGCTGATGGGGTGTATGACTGACCCTCAGCGTTTGGGTCTGCTCTTACCTAGCCTGTTGCTGAGGCGGCAGAATATCCAAATCGACAGCTATTCAGACTTCTTGGCTGAGGCTTGGTCTTTAATTTATCTCTAAACAACAGGAGAAACCTCATACCTACTTCTCAGTGCCTGACAGTACAAACTCCTTCATGAATCCTTTTCTCGTTTGCTTTGGTAGGAGCTTCATGTCGTTTTCCTCCTAGTACCCAAAATAATTGTAGAGGGGACTTTTGAGATTTTTGCCTATTTTCAGTGCTGAAAGGTAAGAAATATTCCAAAAGTGTTGCCCATTTTGGTAGGAGAGACCACGCCTTCTCTATTCACGAGGGCGACGGGTGCCCTTCCTGTGGCACCTGCTCTGAGACGTGTGACCTCCTAGGTCTGCATCCATGGCAAGGACCAAGCATAGAAACCACCTGCGGCTGTCCTAAGCTCCCCTAAGTGTCAGCCTCGAAGGAGAATGAATGAAGGGAAGGGGGCCTGAGCCTGGACGCCAGGCACATGGGCCGTCACATTTCCTCTCTTTGCGCCGTAGAGGTTCACCTGGACCCCTGCCGGACGTGGTGTCCCGCCGCAGACTGTCAGACCGTCTGCCCCGTGCCTCCCAGCGAGCCGGGCCAGCCTGTGCTGGTGGAGTGCCCTGCGTGCCAGCGGAAGTTCTGCTCGTGCTGCAAGGACGCGTGGCATGCGGATGGCTCCTGCAGAGACAGCCAGCCCGTTGCCCTGCCAACAGAGCACGGGTAAGAAGGAAACTTGTTCTTGGGACTACTCCCTGCTTGGCTCAGAAACCCTGAATAGGTTGCTTGGAGGAGTTATCTTCTGATGGAATTTACAGATTAGTTATCACCACATGGAACTTTCTTCAGAAGTGTCTCAGGATGGGTGAGTGTAGAATAACCAAAATATAAAAATAATAGCAACCCAAAAAAACATTTCTAAAGGGATTTGAGTTATTTACCCCTGGAGAATCTTCCAGATACTGCTCGAGTCCGAGTTTGTAATGAGCTGTGATTTCTCTTTAGATGGAGAGGCACACAGTCCACTGGTTCTCTGTACAAAGTCCTGATTTGTCCACAGCCATTTGCTTAGGTACCATAATCGTCTCCTATTGATATTCTTCATTCTTCCTCTTATTAAGTGGCACAGAAATTATTTTTTTACCTAAGCTGCCAGCCCGTGAGTGGTGCCAGTCCTGTGAGCCCACGGCGGCAGACAGGGCAACGTTGCGTGCAGCACAGTGCCAAATCCATAGGTGCCAGAGGACAGAGCCTCCCTCTGCACACGTGGTGCCACGGCCGAGGTTGTGGCATTTTGGCATGAGGAGGAGCAGTGAGGGCTGTACGGCAGCAGGGCCCGGACGAGAGCCCTTTGTGTCGCACCCCTGGCTTTGCTCGAGGCTGTGTTGTTCTGCATCAGCTGGAACAGAAGCACCTGTCGCGGTGCGGTCGGCCTCACCACCCCCACTTCAGTGCCCGTGGGGCTGTTCTTCAGAGGCAGTCACGCCACCGGCCGCAGTGCTGCGTTGGTCACAGACCAAACACGTGAGAGGAAGACGAGGTCTGCTAATGGGCAGGGTGACCTCTCTGGGCCACGGCCTTCGGCGCTCTCACTGCCCGGCCCCGGGGCCCCGGGCTCACCGGGCGCTGCACAGACCCGCAGGAGGGAAGGTGGGGCTCAGGCTTGTCTCTGGGTGTCTGTGGGACCTCACGCAACGCACTCAGCCTCTTTGGGTCTGTTTGTCCATTTGAAAAAAAAAAAAGGAGGAAATTAAAATAGTAAGTGTCCCGCTACACTGTGGGTTACTGTGAGGACCGCGTGTGATCCTGGAAATGCCAACATGTGAACGGGATGCCTCTGTGTGCCGGGTGGGGCCCCGGCTCACCTGGCCTCCCTCTGCCCCGTTTGTCCCACTATTTTACATGCTCCTTAGACTGGGACCCTGTGCTGGCCGGTTCCTCTGCTTGGAGCAGGTCTTTTCAATGACATTGGGCATATTTATTTTAAACTATTGATTATTGACTCCCTCCAACCTCTTCCATTTGTTTATTTGGACACATCTTCAGATTATCGTGTTCTGTTAGATCCTGAGTTAGTTTTTTCTGCCGAGTAGCAGACTTCTTGCACTTTTTATTCAGACGACATGTGCTCAGGGAGTGAAACCCTAATTTGGCAAAACAATGAATTTAATCAGCTGTGGAAAATACAACTGTATAATTCACTCAGAGCCAAAGAAAAATAAATTAACAGTCTTTTTGTCCTTAGTTAACTGAACAGCTCGTAGTCTGTGTCTCTCCTATTTTTACCCCCACCCTTTTCCTTGGAAGTGAATTAAGCCCAGAGAATGAGGTGCCCACCACCTGCCCATCCGGGACCCTAGGAATTCAGGCTCGCATCTAGAAGGGCATCGTTTAACAGTTTGATCGTATCTGGCCCGCTCGTCCCACAGCCCTGGTCAGTGTGCATCATCCTGATCTAGCTTTTTAAAAAGTCAGGTTGCATTTGTAACCTCTACCCTGTCCTGTGTCGCCCGTTCTGCTCCCAGGGCCCTCTTTGGCATGGACGCAGAAGCCCCCATTAAGCCGTGCCCCGTGTGCCGGGTGTACATCGAACGCAATGAGGGCTGCGCGCAGATGATGTGTAAGAACTGCAAGCACACGTTCTGCTGGTACTGCCTCCAGAACCTGGACGTGAGTCCCTGGGGCTCTCAGGCCCTTCTCCGAACCGTACCCGTGTGACAGCCAGGACCTGGCAGGCTTTCCTTTGAAAATATCGAGTAGAAATGTATTTATCATGATCACACTTGCTAGGCCTGCTCCTGCAGGGATCTGACGCCTCTCCTTGATGGCCTCAGCTGCCCACCTTAGCTTTCAGGATCAGCTTTCCTGTCGGGCGTTTCCTGCTCCGGGGGCGCTGTCTCGTGTGTGACGGGAAGGATTACTACTGTGCCCCTCTTGCGTTGCTGTTGTAACAAATTACCACAAGCTTAGTGGCTTCAAACAACACGCTTACTATCTCTAGTTCTGTATCTAAACGTCTGACAGGGGTCTCCCTGGATTAAAATCAGGGGGCTGCCTTCTTTTCTGGATTCTAGGGGTGGATTCCTCTGCCTTCCGGAGGCTGCCTGCATCCCTTGGCTCAGGGCCCAGCTCCCCAGCTGCGCACCAGCACTGTCGCATCTGCCGGCCCTCCTGCCCCAGCCCGGCTCCCGCTGCCCATGGCTGGGAGAGCTGCTCTGCCTTTAAGGACCCTTGTGATGAGATTGGACATGTCTGGGTAGCATGGGACACTCTCCCTTATCTCAAGGTTTTGATTCAATCACACGTGCAAAGTCTCTTTTGCCACGTAAGGTAACACACTCCCGGGCTCTGAGGATCCGGCCATGGGCCTCTGTAGGGGAGCAGTTCTGCCTACCACAGTAGGTTGTTTACTTCTTTTTGAATTTATGAAGAAAGAGGCTTTTCAACGGTATCTTTTAAATGACCATCTCATTCCTGGCGCGAGCAGGAGTCTTGCTAGGGTTCCCTTCCCACAGGAGGGCCCTGCGCATTCATCCCCCGTCACCGTTCACGAAGCACACCTTCCCAAGCTCAGCGGCAGTTTCGTTCAGCCCTGGGCCGGGCTCATGGTGGCCTCAGAGTTACAAGGTCATGAACGTGAAGGATTGGTGAGAAGGTTTTATTTCAATTCTAGGGTTTTGAAGTTGGGAGTAGCCTAAGTTATATATAGGCATTCCCTATTCTGGTGGTTTGGACCTTTGAAATATGTCATGTCAGCGTAGCCTGCAGTCACAGGTAGTGATTCTTTAATCGGCTTTTCATTTTAATTGTTTCCTTGCTTCTATTCCATAAGCATTTGTGTAGTGCGTTAGCATCACAAACACTCACAAATGAGTGTGCCATTACCATGGGATGCGTGCTGGCCACATGCCTGATTTTTCACTGAAAATCAGATCAGTTGTTAGGATGACATCTATGGGTAAGAATCTTAATCAGCTTGATTTCAGTGTTTCCAGAAAAGGTATAAACTGGGGAGAAGAAAATTGACATTTTAGACTCTAGAGGCTCTGTAAGCAGCTCACATTGAAAGAAATGTTCTCATGGTTAAAAAAAAAAGTCTATTTATCATAACCCCTTGGAATATAATTACAGTTGATATTTGAGACCTATTGTAACTCCACATGAGGACTTAGCTAATTATGCATCTCTTATGCTTTACAAATGAAAGAAGGGTTTTTTTCCATTCAGGTTTAACCAGGATATTAATTGGGTTCATATCCACAAGGAGGCTGAGCCCATGAGGATCTCTTTAGGAGGCCAGAGTGTAAGGAGGTAAATATGTGTGCCAGAGCTCTCCATCCTTTGGCCGAGATGTGTTTGGGGTATGGTGTTGCAAAGAACACACTGTTCTATTACTTGGACTGCTCTGGTCCTCAGGGTAAAATGGTACAGATGTTAAATGGCTGCATACGCAGACTTCAAATACTGAAGCATCTTTTTCTTGTCATTTTGTTTTTTGAGATCTCACTTGCTCAGTTTTGGCCAGAGGCATTGGCTTATTGGTAGTAATGTTTTTGCAGCCTAGACCCGTGTCCTATTTCAGATGTGCTGCCGATCTTTGTTTATAGGAAAGTCTCAGAGCACAGGCCAGCGGGAGGCTGATGGCCCAGAAGCCAAGCTTGAGACAGACACCAGAGTGATTGCTGGGGTGTTGAGTTTACCCCTGTCAGATTGTCACCCCTGTTCTTTCAGAGGATGAGATGTTCTTAATCTTCTGCTTTGGGAACCTCACAGACTTGTCCCTTTCAGTCATTTCTTCTCTGTCCTGTGAATTCCCTCCACCTGATTCATCCGTGCATGGAAGTGCGTCCCCCTTGAAGGCGCGCGAGCCCGCGTCTTTCCCTTTCTGCCACTCTGTTTCTCTCCTTCCCTTAGAAGCCAAGCCTCAGAGAGCACAACCACCTCTTGCTGCCGACACTTCCCTCCACATGTAGCTGTGTACTCAGACTGCCATGTTGCTCCGGAGCTTTGAGTGATGTCTTGTGGACAGAACCCAAGGATATTCAGCCCTCACCTCGCCTACATTCTCTGCTGCCTTTGGCATCTTGACACCTCCGTTTCCATGATGCCCTCACTTCTGACTGCTTCTCAGTTCCCTTTCCAGCCTCTTTCTGACCCATTCTTCAATGTCTGTGTTCCACATCCTCTTTGCTGCTTGGTCTGCGCTCTCTCCCTGGGGGATCGCGTGTCCTTCAGCAGTTTCCTCCACCCCATATACACTGATTCCCAAGTCTTTTATCCAAAATCCAGATCTGTGTGTATCAGCTGCCATTGGAGCAGTGCTGCTGGAATATCTCAAGTATTTCCCAGGCTCATCGTGTCCCAAGTGTGGCCATCATTTTCCCAGCCAAGCTCATGGCTGTGTTGTTTCTCTCCGCCGAGCCCCTGCCTCCGGCCTGGAGACCTCCCCCCATCTCTGCCTTCTCCTCTGTGTCTCCGCCTCTGGTTCATGGCTATCTCGCACCTCACGCCTGGGTTCGCCTCTTCCCCATCGTGTCCCTGGCGTTTGCGTCCCGGCGCACGCCGCCTCGCTCGCCGCCCCACACCCCGGGTGCACCTGCGCTGAGCTCCTTTTGAGCATCTTCAGTCGCGTCGCTCATCTTATTTAGACTCAGTCAAGATTCTCATTGATTATGATCTGTTCTCACTCAGTGATTTATTGAACTCCTGAGATAGACTCTGTAAAGACTGTGGGCTTGGGATTCCCAGCGGCCATCATTACCGCCTGAAAGAGATTTTGCTACCGCTGAGGGGACCTGGTGTGGTTCGCATGCGTGTCTCAGTTCAGAGCGGCTTGTCTGCTGACGCCCCTCCCTCTGTTTTTCAGAATGACATCTTCCTGAGACACTATGACAGGGGGCCCTGCAGGAATAAGCTGGGCCACTCGAGAGCCTCAGTGATGTGGAACCGGACCCAGGTGGGTACCCCAACCTAAACCGGACCTTGGGGGGCTGAGAGAGGCTGCCTGCGTTCACCCTCACCCTCTGCTCTCTGCTCACTCACCCCCCGTGGGCCCGGGGGTTCTGGGGAGCCCCGGGACAGGCCTGCGGGAAGGTCGTGGAGCAGCTGCTGAAGTTAGTTCATGAGCACAACCTCCTGGGGATGAGGAGGGGGCCTGAGCCCAGAGCAGCCAAGAAATATACAGTGAGCACAGGGTGCAGGCGGGTCCTCTTCCCCCTGGAGGTGGTAGAACGACTTTCCTGCAGCCTTTTAAGTCCTATTTGGTGTGAAAGGTGGCGCTCTACAACCCTGCAAGCCCCGGCTGGGGCTGAGGTCCCTCTGTGTGCGCTGGGGTGTGTGTGTGTGTGAGGTTCAGTGGGAGACCTGGTGTATTTTTAGGAGTGTTTCATACCTGTTGAAGGCTGTGGACCTGCGGAGGGAGGCAGCACTCATAGCCGAGTGATCACCACTAATGCTCTGTGAGACTGTGGCGGGAACTCGGGTGTGGAGCCCACGCCGACACAATCACACGGGGTTTGCACCGCAGCTGCAGGTCACACTGGTTTATTCTCTTACCCGTGAGTTCATCTTCAGAGTCAGCCTGGTCTGTACCCACTTTAGAGCCCCCCTGGCACAGGCTCGAAGTTCTGTGTCCCTGAGATGGTGTTGTGAAGTCAGCTCAGGCCACACAGCGTGTTCCCAGGAACGGGAGGCATAAACAGCAGAAATGCATTTCCATGGCTCTGGAGACTTGAGTCGGAGGCCAGGTGCCCATGTGACTGGGTTTTGGCGGGGGCTCTCTTCCTGGTTAGAGGGCCTTCTTTCCCAGGCACCCTCCCATGGAAGGAGTGGGGGAGATAAGCCACGTTACAGGGGTCTCCTTGTGTAAGGATACTCACCTGTCGTGAGGGCCCCACCCACACGTCCGGACCCTCATTTCCAAATACCATCGTGTTGGGGATTGGGACTTCAACATAGGGATTTGGGGGACACACACATCCAGTCCCCAGCAGATGGTGGAGCAGGATACAGGAGGAGTCAGCTGCTGCAATGAGCCTCTTTCTGCATCTCCAGGTGGTGGGGATCCTGGTGGGCCTGGGCGTCATCGCCTTGGTGACGTCGCCCCTGCTGCTCCTGGCGTCCCCGTGTATCGTCTGCTGTGTCTGCAAGTCCTGTCGGGGCAGGAAGAAAAAGCGCGACCCCCCCACCACCTAAGTTCTCCGCTCGTGTCCACGTGCCACACACAGGTGTCTGGGCTCTGCAGGACAGTGGACAGCACAGTGGTAAAGCCCCACTAGCGACCTTGCCTCCTCCTCCTCGCCAAACTTTGGAAGTGCCTCTGTGTCCAGACTTTGAACCTGTCCACCTGCCTTCGGCGTCAGAAAAGGACCAGCCTGGGTGCGTGTGTTCCTGTGTAAAGAGAACTGGTGTCTGTAGTACAGTTGGGGCAGCATGTCGGGAGCTTTGGGGTGCTGGGGAAGAGCTAACGCATCCTCACTTTATCATCCCAAGGATCCCACCAAACTGTAGAATTTCCATCCAAATTCCAGGAGCCCCGGGGAACATGCCGTGTGATAACCGAGCTGTCGGGGGGCAGTGCACATGCTGGCTGAGGAGCCGGAGTCCGCTCTGTGCCGATCTGACCCCCATGTAGGGTGGGAAGGAGAAGGTCTAGACTATAGACTGTAAGATGTAGAATCATAAACATAACCTTTAAAATAGTATGGTATCATGCCATCTCATTTTGTAAAAACTAATGGATAATCAAGTTATTTACGCATTTTCAAACACAATTCAGAGCAGCTCTCTTCTCAGCAAAACCTATTTAGTATCGCTCTTTTGGCATCTAGTAGAGCAATCGGAATACTTTATGTATGAGAAACTGATACAATGACAGAAACGTGTAAACTACAATGGAAATGGTTTATACATCTTGAATAGTATGAATTTGTATCACCTCATTGTGAGTTATTTTTCCCATTGTGCCTTTAGCCAGATTTTGGATAAATGGGTTTTGAAAAAGTAATTTTTTTCTTCAATGACCTCTCATTACTGAATTGCCCTGAGCAATTAGCCTGGTGCTTCTTGGGAACATGTGACGTGCCAGCAGAGCGCTCTCCTTAAAGCTGGGTAGACCACATCAGGAACGATGATGCTTTCCAAGGTTACGGGGTTCCTCGGTTGTTAAATTATGAATTAAAGAATGATGCTTTGCTTATGTGATGGAATGAAATGGGGATTGGCATTTTTAAGGAACTTTAATTCACACGTGCATATCGATACTAACAGATGTATAGTACTTTTTTTTTACTGTTTATATAGAACATAGGTGAAAACTCTGGGAAAATTTTGAGTGGCAGCCAGCCAAAAATATTTTTAATCACTTACTGGGAAATTCTCTATATAAAGTGTCTCCATTTCCCTTTGAAACTCGAAACAGTTCAGAAAAAAGAAATCAATACTATCTCCTATCAATATATTTCATACTCATATAAATATAAATGTACATATATTTGAATAATCTGGTTGGTTTTACATTGCCTGAAAAGGGCATTTATAACTGCTCAGGGGATCACAGGAGCTCAACTGGAATTAAATTTTTGTATCAAGGATGTCAGTCACGGCAATGAACTCCCGCATTAGGAACCTGTCTGTGCTTGGTTCCACGAGGAATCTTAACAGGCTGATTTTAAGTAACCTCAAATGCTGTATTATCAACAATAGAGCTCCTGATTTCGAGTGAAGTTGGAAGAAAACATCTATACTATTTCCTTGGCAAAACTAAAAAAAGGAACTTACCTTCTCACAGACACACTAGAACAGAAATAACATTTTTTTTGTGTGTGTGTGTGTGTGTGGAGGATAGGAAGTGAGGGTTGTATGTCAAACCGATTTTAAATGACTGGATTTAAGTCTATAAAGGTTGAAAAGTGCCTGCAAAAATGATGACATCTTCCTTAAAGAGCTAAATGAATTGACCTGTGTGAGCTTGTCAGAATCAACAGGAACAGGTTGGTAGGTTAAACCCAAATCCATCTCTAGGGCATCAAAGAGCAACATGCAGGCTGATGTAGAAGCTTTGTTTATAAAGGAGAGAGCTGACAACTTCGATAACAGAGACTGATGTTTTTGTTTGGGATCGGTGCCCAGTGAAAGAGTTTAATCTGTGTCCTTCCTTTGTCTGTAAGCCTCACCCTTTCCTAGTGATTCTCTTTCTGTACTGGGAAGAAGTAGGGTGTTACATAATAATGTTTGGTTGTTGGGGCAAAGATCTTTTTGTGTTTGGGGTAGTATAGTCCATTTGAAATAGAAACCAAAATCCTTCACCAAGTTGTAATCTGGATGTCATAACCCCCCATCCAGAAACACCACTGGGTGTAACAGCATGTCTAGCTCCTGACCCTGCTGGGGCTGTGCTCTTGTTATTAGGCAGGGAAGTGAGGAGCAAAGCCATATGGAAGCAAATTCTAGAATCCTAAGCACTCTGTGTGTTCATGCAACGGGTGTTTGTTCTGGACTTGAAATCTCTATTTTGAAAGAGTCCTTTGAAAAATGAGTAAGTCACAGTGTGAATTTCCTTGTAGCCCATGTCATGAAAATCTTACCTATCCAGATTTGAAAATCTACATGTTTCTTTGAATTAAATCACTGTTTTTTGAAACCCCAAATGGTCTCTTAAAAACTATTCAGAACCTGTGTATGTATTCCTTAGCCTTCTCACACAGTGCTTCTGCAAGATTTTCTGTTCATGAATGGATGCCTTTATGTGTATAGAATCGAGTATATATGTGTACCTTTAAAGACAATTTCTTAATGCCTTAGCTGAATGACATTTTATAAAGCTGTCACAGTTGATGTCTATAGGCAATTATATATCATGTTGATTCATCATCCTGAAAATTTTGTTATGTATTTAAGAAATTGCTGCTATTATATTTTTCCAATTATTTGAGAGGAAAATACCTTTTAGTCTCTGTAGCCCCAATAAACGTGGAGCAGGAAATTAAGAGTGTTCACCTTTGTTTGCAGCATGTTTCCAGACACATCGATTTTACCCTCCAGGAAACAACCAAGTCACTATTAAATCCGAGGTTCAGAATTTACAAGAAGTACCCAGATCTGCTATACTGTTTATGGAAATTACTTTTGCTACTTTGTTTCTTAAAGTGTTACCCTTAAAAATAAAGCTCAGTTATTCTCCCAGAAAAAATAGGTTTATTTGGGAATAGCTGAGAATCACAATTTGGCACAAACAAGCTATGGGAAAACTAGCTGGTCTGGAGAACAAAGGAGAGAACACTTTTTTTATAGAGGAGGGGACCGAGTTGTCACGGCTGTTTTAAGCAAAAGGTCCATTGGAGGAAACTGGGAGTCCCACATAACATGGCTTCTCATTGGCTGAGTTGTGACAGCCTCTCATTGGCTGAGCTGTGAAGCCTCTCATTGGCTGAGCTGTTGCTGGGGTCGGAGAAAAACCTCTCTTACTCCTTCTGAATAGTAAAGAGGTAACACAGTACTATGGATGGACTTGCAAGTTGTGTGTCTGGTACCTCTCTTCCCACTGGATCATCAAGACAAGTGATAGGGTGTGAGAACTCTCTCCTTAATGGCTCCCCTAACTCCATTTTAGTAAGGTTTCCTTTTTATTAATTTTTGCAAAAGAAATGGGGAGAAGTGCAATGCCTTCAACTCAGCAGACTTTTCTTGTATGTGTGGCATTTCACACTGCTAGTGTGCAGGCATTGATCATTATCCAGAGAAGTAACCAATAATTTAGGTCTCTGATCATTCTAATAAAAAAAATGATGTCAGGCATCAAAGCCATTAGTTCTGTAAAATAAGGGTTGGGCTACATGCCAAGTTCAGTTCTGACCTTACAAAAGTCTATTAGAGGAATACTTTTCCTTGTTCGGATTTTTAAAGGATTTACATTCGTGGCAAGGTCATTTCCATTTGATTAGTAAATCAAGGCAGGACTCCTACTAAAGTTTAGTACCAGAAGTTGATTAACAACTAGAACTAGTGTTTTTACAAAACTGAATTCTCACATCCCTAAGCTGATATTGATGCCTTTTTATTGAATATTATATGCTTCTAATATGAGACTCAAATACAAAAATATATAATTGACCTATAATTCAAGTTTTATTTTCTTACCATTCAGTTTTGAGAACATCAGTAAGGTCGTTTAAAACACGTTTGGCTTATGGCTTCTTAATTTGCTTAATTGTCTCCAGAAATGTCAACATTATTTCATTTGTAAGTGCACTTATTGTTTGCTTAACTGGAATTAGTATTCCCAGAGAACTCTTGAATGAACCATTTTATACAGCGGTGATTTTAATGCCCTAACCAGCAGACTCATTGCAATGTAGATTATGAGTCTAGTGAATGTGGGGAATTATAATTACATTTTTCTGTAATTAAAATATTTTTATTTGTTAGATAATAAAGCTAGTTTTCTTTAGACCTTGAAGGGCGTATCCAACTCCATGTTATGAAAAAGAAAGAAATTTCAAATAATTTAATAGCAATTAACATTTTTTATTTATATATTTTTACATACACTTTTAAAAGAATTTTTGAGGACAATCCTCTGAGTAAATGGGATATTAGATCCATTTCATAGAGACAACAATGGTTTTGTGTTGTCTTGCCAAGGGTCACACTACTTATGAGTGACAGCCAGAAAAATAATGCAAGACTCCTTTAAAGACATTTTATGCTCTTTTATTAGTAATTCTGAACCTTCTTCACTCCTAAATCTGTAAGTTCCAAGAGACTATATTTCCCTCTTAATTATCTGCCTGAATGGAGATATATATATAGTAGAATAATTCATTATTTCAAATAATCATTTAGAGTGTGTGCTGGTGTGTCTGCCAGCATTCTGAGGGCAGATGGCCACCCTCGGAGATCAACCTCAGGCCCTCCCCGGGGTTCAGCCAGAGCAGAGGGGCAGGAGGTGGAAGGATGACCCATCAAAGACAACTAGGTGGTGTGTATCTGACTTGCTAATATTGGAACTAGAATTAGAGCTGGGTCTATGCACTTGCTTCAGATGCCAAAATGTTTGCCTCTTCCCCACAAATACAGAGTACGTTCTCACAGTTTCCTTTTAATGTTTACCATCAAGACAAAGGATTATTAGCTTAGATCCAAATCATTTCCTATTAACATTACCAGCTTGTACTCCAGTGTGTATCTGTGGACTATCATTAAATAAATCCACAAACTGGCAGCTTCACAAGCAAGAAAAGGAACTCTACACAATGAAGTTAATGAATTTCTGATGTGTATGAAGTTGTGCTTTGAATTCCATTTTCTGCTTTTGTGTTTTGCAATTTTATCAGTTTGCCTTTGTGTGTGTGTGTTAGAGCTGCAATTCAGCCTTTTGATGAGAAGGAAATTAAGTCTCAGGTTAGCCATTTCGCCTTCTAGTCCTTTAATGATCTGGCGTGATTCAAGGACGTATATTTCTTTTGGAGGAATGATGGGTAGTTAATATTAATGCCATTGAACACATTCAAATAAAATGAACATGAAGGTTTTCTTGACGTGAATTGTGACACTTCTGGTTATTGATCAGTCTGGATTTATTTTCTGAAGCCAAGCCAGTCTGTTTAATTGAACGCAAACAAGTCCAGAACATCACACACCAGCCTGCATGGTGTGTCCGGAATTCCAGCCTGGCCCCTGGGACTTTGGCGCCTCCAGGACATGTGAACACAGTGTTGAGAAAGGCTTGGCAAATCTGGTGTCACCCTGGGCATAGAACGAGCGGGCAGCATCCTCTGTTCTCCCTGTGTTTTTCCAATCCAAGTGGTGGGGGGTTGGGGGACAAAGGTCCAGCTTGCAGTAAGATAACTTCAGTTCCAGGCTTGGCTTTGCTCTTGTTTGGTAGTGTGGTCTGAGGCCAGACATTTATTGTGAAACATCATTTCATCCATTTAAGCTCAGATTTAGGAGAGAAAAGATAAATGTACCAACCTTTGTTACAAAGACGCATGTTACTAAATTGTTGTAAGTTGTAGATAGCTTAAAAGAGGAGAAAAGGAGGTTCTTTAATGTTTAAAAACTAACATTAAAGGCTATCAATATTTTAAATTAAAATTAAATTTATTCTAATAAAAAATTAAGTTAACATATATTATAAAACTAAATATAATCATAACCATCAATCCATTTGGTCTGCTGTAATTCTTATTTTGGCTTCATCTTGGGTTAGCAGCTTTATAAATCAATCAGTTTTCCATTAGCGTTTTAGAAATTCTTGCCCAGTTCAGTGTGTAGACTTAAAGTCATCAGAAACCTGCATTTTAGGGTATATATCAGTGTCTTTTCTATAAATTTCTTTGAAGAGGATGCACTTTTGTGTGTAGTTAGTTGTAAATGCTTTCAGAGAAAAATCTGGAGTAAAACAGTAACTGTCTGCAAATGACAGAAGACTTAAAAATGGCCATGGTTAAAGAGCTAATGAGACTTTGTTACAATGCAGCTGACAAGGAATTTGGTTATTTCTGTGACATACATTTTAAAATTATGACTGAATTACCAGACATAGCAGATTTTTAGGAATTTTCTGCAAATATATCCTATAGAAACTTCAGCACCACTTCTTATTTAACAAAGCTTCCTGTGAAAATTAACATGCACAGTAAGTTACATAGTTGTAAAAAAAAAAAAAAACAACTCTTTATTATATAGAGAAGACCCAGTTTTCTTAAGTATTCAAAGACCAGACAAAGGCAAACACCAAATCTTTGCTTTCTGGGCAGATGACTTTAAAGGGAAAAGAACCCTTTGTTTGGAGTCATTTTGTCTTGTAGAAGCTTCTCCATACCAATCAAAGAATGCATTCCATCATCTCTGAGAGGATCGGAATCTCTTTTTTTTTTTTTTAATTTTGAGAGGGCATCTCTCATATTTATTGATCCAATGGTTGTTAACAACACTAAAATTCTGTATAGGGGACTCAATGCGCAATCATTAATCCACCCCCAGCCTAACTCTCAACAGTCTCCAATCTTCTGAAGCACAACGAACAGGTTCTTACATGGTGAGCAGTGCAAGGGCAGTCATCACAGAAACTTCCGGTTTTGATCACGCATCATGAACTATAAACAATCAGGTCAAATATGATTATTCATTTGATTTTTATACTTGATTTATATGTGGATCCCACATTTCTCCCTTATTTCTTTTTTAATTAAAATGCTGAAGTGGTAGGTAGATGCAAGATAAAGCTATTCTGTTAATGTGTGTATGGAATCTCTTTTTTAAGGGTTACCCCTTTAGGTGGATTTATCTAAGTTGAAGTTTTCCCCAAATGACCACTACATTTTCAAAAGTTCACCTATTTTGGCCAGTTAGAACTCAGCTTTGCCTTTAGGTTCCCCAAGATGTCATAACTACGAGGGTCCCGCTTTCCAGCAGCTGTTCCGAAGCACAGGAACCATGTATTCCTGCCCTTGCCTGCCTTCAACAGATGAGGGAGACTTACCAGGAAACGTCAATGAACGGAAACAGGAAGTGTGCTCAATCAAGCCGGAGAGCTCAGCGCGTGGAGAGAGTGGCGGGCAGGTCCGCGGGAGACTGACCTTGACATTCCAGGGCTGGTGAGAAAGCTGTGAGCTCGGTGGGCTCGCTGGCTCCGAGTCATTGGGGGTCTTCCGGTTTCCTTTCTGATGCCAAGAAATGCCAAAAATTCAGAAATAATGTACACAGAACCAATCAATCACTGAAGCAGTAATTAGGAAAAGTTGATCACACACCAAAAAGGCAGTTTGTGAGCCAGGAGCTCTCGAACCGAAGCATGGAACGAGGCTCGGTGGTCTGTCGCTCTAAAGCAGCTTAAATAGTTGGAAAGCAGTGACTGTTTATTCTTTACAGTGAATGGTTATAATATTAGAATTTTCTTAAATGATAAGGAATTGGTTAGTAGTTACCTTGTATTGACCTTGGGAAACAGTTTTGCTTATGATTTTCAGAGACTTAAGCAAGAAATAACCCAGGTCAAGTTAGCCTTGCAAAATAAATTAAGCCTTGTTTGTATGACTCAACTGGACGTGTCTGCTCAGGGAATATTCAAAACTGGTATCCTTTTTTATTTTTTACTTTATTTTACAGAGTCCTCCTCATACTTCAGAGCTCTTGGACTTTCTCTTCTGCTGCACTTCTCTGACTCCCATCATTTAAAATTTTTGAAGTGGCTAATGGGAACATATTTATGTCTATTAATTTCAATAGGAAATTTAACTTTTTGCTGTTCTGTTTCCCTGTCTTGTGAAGCCAGTTTGCAGATATGATAGTGTCAGCTAGAAGAAATCATAAATTCAGGGAAGAATTAAGAACAAGATCTTGTTTCCCTCGAGGGAACCGTTGACCCAAAGTTTCTGCGGACCTTGGACGGCCGAGGTGTCAGCAGCGGCCCGGATTCCGGCTGGTGTGCTTGGAAGTTCCACTTGATCTCCACCTGGGACAGATTTCTCTCAAATGCACTTAGAAGAAAACTTGACCTCATCTATCTAAATAAACTTCAGAAGATTCGGAATAGGATTGAATTTTGTGTTAGGTTCTGGAAGGACAACACCTTTGAAGAACTGGTTTAGAGCACAGGACGGCGTCTGCACTCGAGTCAGGCGGGTGCAGCAGGGGAAGGGAGCCCTCCAGTCGTGGTCTGCTGTCGAGGGGCCCGCACCGAAAGCCAAGCTCATCACCTCGTTCCCTTCCTGCCCCCGTGCAGGAATACAGACCCTGGCCAGAGGCTTTAGATGTTTTAAGTGAGGATGGCCATTCTTCTGAATAGAAATGGAAGACCAGAGGGAGGGGTGAGGGCTCTCTGAATCCCTTGAGGCTTTGGACAATTTATAATTGATCTTGGTCTCAGTTTCCTCATCTAGAAAAACGGAAGTGATTGTTTTCTAGGTCCAGTTCAAATCCAGTCTTTTGTTTAAGACAGAAAAGATCACTGTACCCCCCTGTGAGCCCCGTATAGGTCAGTATAGCTAGCACAGGAGCAATTCTCCTTATTAGACAAGGAACTGGTAATTGCCAGGAGAAGCTTCCAGGCACTACAGTATGGAGAATCCCAGAAGCATGGGAAATTACCGGATTATAGAAAATAAGCAAATTCAAAGAACAATGATTCATCTTTATGGTTTGTTTGCATCTCTTAATGATGGAAGAGACAAAAGTTGCTTGGGGGATTTCTAGGGACATGTTTCCTTTTGTATTTACATTAAAAATGTCAGAACCTCAGTATTCTTATTTGAAGCATGTGATGGATTGTTTATTGTGTGTCTGAGGATTCTTTTTAACATTCAGTTGCTTGTTACTGATTAATTTTTCTGTATGGTTCTGGTACACACTGCATGTTCTGTGAATTATTAAGTTTAAGGTATATATTTATATGTGTGAGAAGATGGCATATAGGATAGTGTATGTATAATTTTGTGTGTCTGTGTATACACTGACCATTGAACAACGGGTTTGAACTGCAAAGATCCACTTATATGTACATTTTTTTCAATAAATACATTTGAAAACCTTTGGGAGATTTGTGACAATTTGAAAAAAAATATGTTCTCTAATTTCTCTAGCTTACTTTATTGTAAGAATACAGCATATAACATGTATAACATACAAAATATGTGTTATGAACTATTTATGTTATTGATAAGGCTTCTGACTTTCAATAACAGTAGGCTATTAGTAGTAAACCTTTTGGGAGGTCAAAAGTTATACATGGATTTTCAGCTGGAAGTTGAGGGGTCAGTGCCCCTGACTACAGTTCAAAGGTCAACCATATGTATATATATATGGATAGGTACGTCTCCTTAGGTTCAAATACATTTTTATTTAGACTTAAATAATACATTTTATTCTCAAAAGTAGAACACAAAACTACTTCTGGGTTTCAAAAGCAGTAAATCAAGAAGTAAAAGCTAATTTTAAAAACACTTTGAAAGCATTCTGATTTTTTGAACTAAAATATTTTAATTTTCCACATATTACTTGAAACCCACAATAAGCTGTTCTGACAGATGATTGCTCCCACTTGTGACAAAATATTTCCACTTAGGCCTTTTAATGTTTGAGAGTAACATTTCATTTTCATAGTGGTCATATCATACTAAAACTGCTTTCTAGTATTTATATCCAATGTCGCAAACATAATCTAGGAAGTAAAACAAAGACTTGGTAAAAGTCTTCAGGCTTAATATCTATCCCATTTTAATGAAAACAAAAGTGTGTGTTGATTACATCTTAAAATGGAAATGATGGAAAAAGAAAAAAAGAAATGATTGTGTTTGTGCCCTGTTACCCATTCATAATCTACAGGGTATTTCCCAGAAGTTTCCACATCAACATCGTCAGCTTGTGTAGAAACAGAAATTCACCCTGGGAAGGAGGTGAGGATGACTTGGAAGCTCTGCCTGAAGTGGACTTTTGAGGACTACAAGCTTGACATTTCCTGCTTTATTTTCTAATTTTATTGTCTACAATTCACCTAAAAATTATAATCTAGTCCATATTATTTTGATGGAATTTTAAAAAGAAGGTTGCAAATCCCTGAAGTAAAATGAACTTCTTAAAGATGCTGGTCCTCATGTTGTTTCCTTTAGGACCCCCCTGTGCCCCTGGGGTGCACCTAAGCCGGGTTGCCGCCTGGGCCTACAGTGGAACACACTGAAGAAGGCAAGTCTTCTAGGCTAACCTTCTGATCACGAGGCACACACGGCGCCTTCTTTGTACAAACAAATGTGTGGTGATTAGTTGCCTCAAGTGGCTTAGTCTGATTTAGGAGAAACACCACCTTGGGCTCCAGAATGATGAATTACAGTATCAGGCCCTGCCTGACGAGCGCCAGGTGAGGGGCAGAGATGCATGCTAGGAGCATGTGGAGGAGAGCAGATGTTGCTGAAAGTCTTTGGTTAGGGGTTACAGAGAAGGTTCCGGATCAGAGCTGTGAAAGACTGCTAGCATTGTGCTTGCAGAGCAGCGTTCGAGGCCATTACAGGGAGGAGCCCAGGAGTGCAAGCACATGGTTTGGGGAGTGCTAACTAGCCTAATTAAGCTGAAAAGGAGCACTTGCAGGGCAAAGGAGAACCAGAGAAGGAAGAAGAAAGGTCCTCTTGACTGCCAGGCTCAGGAGTTGCTGGGTGCTGGATGCAGTGGGGGATCATTTAAGGGTTCTGCGCTCGAGGAGGGATGAGTGCCAAGGTATGTTTTAGCGGGTTCACCTGACAACCGTGTGTTGGTTGAATTTTGGGAGGAAACTGGAAGAAGTGTGACTGGTTAGGGGACTCCTGAAATAGTCCAGGTATCATCTGATTAAAGCCTGGTCCAAAGCAGTATCTGCAGAGAAAGAAAGGGAAAAAGCAAATGAGAAAGATGACATAAATATAAAAAATTCAGTAGCATTTGGTGATTACATCATCTACAGGATAAGTGCTTTTAAAAAATGTTCTGTTAATAGAACTCTTGTTTTCTTCCTTGAACGTACTACTGAACTGGATCTTAAAGCTCCATACACTTGCTATCAGGCTGCCCCCAGAGCCAGTTTAGAAGGGGTCTTGTTAATGTGAGGCTTAATCATAGGACTTTCCCTTCAATCCTTTTTTGTGACAAAGCAGAGAATAAATAAAATTACCTACAAGGCATGATGAAAGAGCAGCCACATTGAATGCAGAACAACTGCGTGGGAGATGGTGTTCTTCGTTTTATGACTTTTGTTAATTCTAACGGAAGTAGGAGGCACAGGATAGATTCTCATATTAATGAATGTGCTCTTGCTTAAGAAATGCTTTCAACCGAGCCACCTTCCCCTTTGCTGGGGGAAGCCAGGGGCGCAGGGGTACACAAGCAGCTCAACAAAGACCGGAAGTGCAGCTGAGTTCTCAGAGTGCTTTGAGGAAGCTGATTAACTGAGCTGTTTTCGTTTACTTGGAAAAAAATTCCCTTTCAAAGTTCAGCGAGGTGTGTCTTTCCCTTTACTCAGCTGCCACTCTGTCTGCTAATAAGATAAGCTGATTAGTTTTGTCTTAGACGCTTCCATCTCGTATGTGAAGACCTAAAGTGGGGAGAGCCACCTCTTAACTCAGTGATTTATAATTAATGACGCAGTGAATTCTTAGAATATTCTTTGCGCCTTTGCCTGTGGAAACCATTTGCTCTGTACGTGTGACCAAGTAACTGTTGGAGCCCCACTTGCTAGAGCTGAACACAGAGACCTGGAAACTGAAGTCTGGCCAGTTAGGCTGCTGTCGACCCATACCCATTACCTTTGGAGTTGAAAAAGGAATAGCTGTGTGAAATGATCAGAAACCAGCATGGCCTCTCTTGTAACAAATAACAAAAGAAGTGCTCAGTGCCCACAGTTCTGTACTGATCTGTTGATAGGCAGGGAGGAAAAGTCAAACTTGGGGAGGCATTTGCCCACAGATGTTGCTATATGCAGATGTTCCCTTATCAAGTCTGTGAATATTCTGCTTTATTGAGAGAGTGAAGAATTGCATCCTATTAGAGAAGTCTTTTTTAATTAAAAACAGTCTCTGATTCTTGGACTGATGATTTTTATGTGGTTTCCTCTTAGTTTCTTAATACCAGATGTTTGTTTTCTTTGTCTTTTCAAACAATTACCTTTTGGATTTATTAATTTTATTTTGCTTTCTAATTCATTAATTGTTTTTACTCTTTATTAGTTTTCCTCCTGCTTTTCTTATTTTTTTAATGTTTGTTTTACTTGGTTTGAATGCTTCACTTATTTTCATTCTTTCTTGTTTAGTTATAAGAACATTTAAACCTATGAATTTTCCTTCATATATAAGTTTGATACATCCAATAAGTTTTAATAAGTAATGTCATTGTTGGTCTTTTCTACAAAATAATCACCATGCTGATTTCTGTTTTCACACAGTAATCATTGAGTGCTCAGCGGTGCACAAAGGGTCCCTTTTCTCCTCATCCTCACTAACACTTCTTACGAACAGGTGTGAGGTGGTATCTCATCATCAGTTTAATTTACATTTTCTTGATCAGTGATGGTGAGTCCCTTTTCCTTATCTGTTCGTTATTTGTGTATTTTCTTTGGAAAAATGTCTATTCAGTTCCTCTGCCCGTTTTAAAATAAAAGTGTGTGGGTTTCACAGGCTGTTCTTGTTTTGTTTTGTTTTGTTTGCTATTGAGTTGTATGAATTCTTTATATTTTTTTAATATTAACCCTTTATCAGATACATGCTAGATATATACTTTGCCTAATATTTTCTATTTTGTAGGTTGCTCTTTCATTTTGTCAGTGATTTCCTTTGTTGTGCAGAAGCTTTTTTGTTTGATCTATTTTTTTTTTATTTTGTTGCCTTTGCTTTTGGTGTCAAATCCAAAAAATCATTGCATGTCAAGAAGCTTGCCACCTTTGTATCTTTCTAGGATTTTTACAGTTTCACTTCATACATTCAATCCTTTAATTCATTTTGAGTTTTTATGTCTGGTGCAAAACCTAGCACCATTTAATGAAGAAACTATCCTTTTCCCCATTCTATATTCCTGGCTCCCTTGTCATAAATTAATTGATGGTATATGCATGGGTTTATTTCTGGGCCCTCTGTTCCATTGCTAGATATGTTTGTTGTTATGCCAACACCAAACATATTGTTTGATACTGTAGCTTTGTAATATAGTTTGAATCAGTGTACTGATCTTTCAACTCCTTGGTTAAATTTCTTCCTAGACATTTTATACTTTTTGATGTTATTGTGAATGTGATTGTTTTATTTCATTTAATAAATTTGTGGATTAGTTCTAATAGATTTCTTTGGTAGCATTTTTAGGGCTTTCTGTATATAATGTCATGTCATCTGCAATTGGAGACCATTTTACTTCTTCCTTTCTGACTTGGATGCCTTTTATTTTCTTTTTCTTGCCTATTTCTCTGGCAAGGACTCCCAATACGACGTTGAATAACAGTGTCAAGAGGGGTAACTTTGTCTTGTTCCTGATCTTGGAGAAAAAGCTTTCAACTTTTCACTATTGAGTATGTTAGCTAGCTATGGGCTTGTTCTAAATGGCCTTATGTTGCCGTATGTTCCTTCTATACCCACTTTATTGAGAGTTATCATGAATGGAGGTTGAATTTTGCTAAATGCTTTTTCTGCAACTGTTGAGGGGATCACATGATTTTTCTATCTTTCATTTTGTTAATGTGTTGGATCACATTGATTTTGACTGATTTGTGCATCCCTGGAATAAATCCCACTTGATCGTGGTGTATGATGCTTTCAATGTGCTGTTGAATTCAGTTTGCTAATATTTTATTGAGAATTTTGCATCAGTATTCGTTAGGTATATCAGCTTATGATTTTCTTAGACTGTCCTTATCTGGTTTTGGTATCAGGAAAATACTGGCCTTGTGAAATAAGTTTGGGAGTATTCCCTCCTTTTTTATTTTTCAGAAGAGTTTGAGAAGAATTGGTGTGAATCTTCTTTAAATGTTTAGTACAATTCACCAGTAATCATCTAGTCCTGGACTTTTTTTGTCAGGAAGTTTTTGATTCCTGGGTCAATCTCCTTACTAGTAATTGGTCTCTGCAGATTTTTCTATTTCTTCATGATTCAGTCTTGGTGGTTGTATGTTTCTAAGAATTTATCCATTTCTTCTGGGTTATCCAATTTTGGGGGCTTATTTTCCTACCACCAGAAACCATAAAACTATTAGAGGAAAACATAGGCAGCAAGCTCTTGGACATTGTTTTGAGCAATAGTTTTTGCATCTGTGTCGTCAGGCAAGGGCAACAAAAGCAAAAATCAGCAAATGGGGCTCTATCGAAGTAAAAAGGTTTTGCACAGTGAAGGGAACTATCAACAAAGGAAAAGGCAGTCTACAAAATATGTGCCAATGATATAACTGGCAAGGGGTTAATATCAAACATATATAAAGAATCCACACAACTCAATATATATTAAAAAAAAAAAAAAACCAAACAGTACAATTAAAAAATGGGCAGAAGACCTGAAAAACATTTCTCCAAAAACACACAGATGACCCAACAGGCACATGAAAAGACAGTCAATATCACTAATTATCAGGGAAATGCAAATCAAAATCACAATGAAATATGACCTCACTTCTGTCAGAACTATCAAAATTACCAAAAAGACAAGAAATAACAAGTGTTGGTGAGAATGTGGAGAAAAAGGATCCCTTGTGACTGTTGGTGGGAATGTAAAAAGTACAGCTGCTATGGAAAATAGTACTTAGGTTCCTCAAAAAATGAAAAACAGAACTACTGTATGACCCAGCAACCCCACTTCTTCATTTTATCTGAGGAAAATGAAAACACTAATTTAAAGAGATATATGCACCCTTATGTTCATTGCTGCATTATTTACAATAGCTAAGATAAGGTAGGAACCTAAATAGTCCATTGATAGATGAGTAGATAAGGAAGATGGGATACATATACACAATGGAATATTGCTCAGCCACTGAAAGAATGAAATCTTACCATTTGCAAGAACATGGATGGACCTAGAGGGCATTATACTAAATGAAATACATCAGACAAAGACACTTGTACGTGGCATCTAAAAACAAAACGAATGAACAAACAAAACAAAGCAGAAACAGACTCATAGACACAGAGAACAATTTGGTGGTTGCTAGAGGTTAGGGGGCTAGAGGGACTGACGAAATAGAGGGAAGGGATTAAAGGATACAAACTTCTAGTTATAAAGTAAAGATACAGGGATACAATGTATATTCCCTGTTACTGGGAATGTAGTTAATAATATGTAACAAGTTTGTATGGTGACAGATGGTAGACAAATTATCATGGTGATTACTTCCCAATGTATATAAATGTTGAATCACTATATTGTACACCTGAAACTAATATAATATTGTGTGTGAGTGACACTTCACTTAAAAATGTAATTAATGATAGGTATGGACTTACTATTGGCATTTTGTTAATTCTTTTCTGATAGTCTTGTAATTCCTTTGTTCCTTTTACTTCTCTTACTGTCCTCTTAGTCATTTGGTCGTTTTCTATAGCAATATGCTTAGATGCCTTTCTCTTTCTCTTCTGTTGATCTACTATTAGTTTGTCTTTGTGGATACCGGGAGGCTTACATAAAGTATCTTATATTTATAATATTCTGTTTTAAGTTGATAACTTCCAATACACACTAAAGCCATACATGTGCACCACCCCTTCCTCTTCATA